TGTTGGAAGAATTGCATTTATTATCATTGCTTCATGCTGTACTGTCGCTTTAACAAACCACTTGCTTCCCATATTTACTCCAGTGTATTACTGTCGCTTTAACAAATTGCTTGCTTCCTATCTTTTCCTTGTCACACCCCCATTCATACCCATTTACATATCCAGCTTCCTACCCCATATACTCACACTAAATCAAATGTTATGTAATCTGATACTTTTGTAAACTAAATAAAAGAGCAGGGGAAGGGTGCAGCAACTCGGAGCTGATGAGGAAGCTGCCAGAAGAGTAAGCTGCACTCTCCCCTTGCAAGAAAAAGACCCAGTTGTCTTTTGTGTTGTTTACTTTGTCGTCATTTATGTTAGAATAAACCAGACACCCAGACTTCCCTCTCCCTCGACACTTCCTCCAGCTCTTCTGGGGGGACCCCAAGGCGTTCCCAGGCCAGCCGAGTGATGTAGAGTTACAGGATTAGTCAATGGACTTCTTGTAGTCAGTCTGTTTGCTGATTTAACAAAGATAAAATCTTTTGATTCTGTTATGCCTTTTAATTTTTCACAGCACACAGTTCTACATGCTCCTACTGAGCCCCTAAAGGGACATGGGGAAAAAAAAATTAAACGTATCTTGTGAGCACGAGAAAATATATCTAAGACATTTTGCCACACATACATACATAAAATACCTCGCCATAAAAAATGGGCAGGATTTTTTGCGACAAACTTTTTGCTGTAAGTTTAGCGTAACTTGTTCTTTTTTATGAAGTTAAGATCGTGTACGCAGACATCGAAGCGAGATGAAACGATAATGAGGTTCACCTTATGGCCTATATACCCTGCTACCCTACAAGTGTAATTTAATACACCAGTAATTTGAAGCACAAAGCTGAATTGTTGTGGTGCAACTGTGTAACACACAAAAAATAGGAACAAGCTCTATTTTTTTTTTTATTACGTATAAAGTTGTCTTTAACACTACTGGCTAAAAAGCAGTCCTAAACCATTACAGAGCTCCTAAAAGAGAGACCTGTTCCAGGTAGCAGCCAATCAAACACATTCAAATTCACAGATACTTATTAACTATTAAAACAGTGGAAAACAGCAAAACCATTTCTCTGTCACCATACTCCAAATTAAAATGAAATTTAAACCAGTTCAGACATGAGCTTCATTAGCTTAGCTGTAGAACAGTACATTCTTGAGTGTATAGATGAATTGCAAGGTATATAATGAACAGTATAGTTGTGCCTGCAATACTACAGGCACAACTATACATTGAGGTTTGTTTTTTTAAAGCAATTTCATCGTAGGAAAACTGTCAGCAAAGTAAACACACACAATGCTGTCTATGACGATTCTCAGTCATCCAGGTCATGGTCAAGTTTAAAAAGTTCTGTTAGGCAACTGGACATGAATTTTCTAAAAGAAGACGTTTCACCTCTAATCCAAGAGGCTTCTTCATTTCTATCTGGTGATGGGGAGTGCAGCAGATATATACTCTAGGTGTGAAAGAATAAAGCTACTACAGCTCCACCCTGTTGGGTGGGCCTTAGGGTCAACAGTGAAAGTGTAAACAGTCGTTAAGAGTCTGATGGGTCGTTGTGGTCCTCATCAGAAAGGTTTCAGTCACCTGCCTCTTTGTTATGTGAAACTGAGGTGAATCTTTTGGGTGTTGTTCCTAAAAGTGCTTTGTAAGTGGGTGAAGGTTGTGTCTGAGTCTACCTCTGTTGAGTGATGGTTTTTCCAGGTTGACAAAAATGGCTTCTTTTACCCTTCTCTCAAACCATCTGTCTTCCCTGACCAATATGTGTACTCAAAGGAGTGTGTTTTGTCCATGAGGTGTATGTGAACAGCTGAGTCCTGTCCTGAGGAGTTGGCCCTCCTGTGTTGGGTCATGCGCCTGTGTAGCGGTTGTTTAGTCTCACCAATGTACAGATCAGTACACTCCTCACTGCACTGAATGGCATAAACCACATTGTCCAGATTGTTTCTTGGAGTCTTGTCTTTGGGATGAGCCAGTTTTTGTCTTAGGGTGTTGCCAGGTTTGAAGTGTACAGGGATCTGGTGTTGGTTAAAGAGCCTCCTAAGTTTTTCCAAAACTCCTGAAATGTATGGAATGACGACATTCCTCCTCCTGTTGTGGACCTCTTTTTGTTTGTTTTAAAAAAAGCCCATCTGGGATAGCCACAGGTCTTGAGAGCTGTTCTAATGTGTCTCTCATCTTACCTCTGTTGGTGGTGGGAATGGTGTCTGCCCGTGACTGTAGGGTTCTGATGACTCTTAATTTGTGCTCCAGTGGGTGGTGTGAGTCAAAAGATACTGGTGTATCCAGATACTGGTCTGTGTGGGTTGGTTTCCTGTACACCTCTGGCTTGGTGATGTTTCCACATAAGAACATCAAGTTCACCAGAGAAGATGTGGAAAAACAGTCTTGCATTCCTGGACTGTGCAGTTCACATCACAGAGGACAGACATCTCAACATAGAGATGTACAGGAAGTTTTATGATAATGATATATTTTCATGTTTTAGAACTGCTATTTGTAGTAAATCAAATTGTTTCTTTACAGTTTTGTGACTACATCTCAGTGTTTCAAGGCTCTCAGCTAAAGCTGTGTTGTGTCAAAAATGCAGTGCTTTTGGTGGGATGTGTCCATCCACTGGACACAAACGGTATTACAGATGGATCAAAATATTTTTACGTGTTATGTATGCCTGACTTAAGTCTTTGATTTCTTTCTTTATAAACTTTGCTTTATGAACAAGGCTCTGGCTTGTGGCACTTCAGCCCAGAGGCAATGTCTCTGTCATTGGTGTGGAACCCCAGGGTTCACCTCCTGGGCTAGATCAAATCCCAATTAAAGCGGTTGGTACCTTCCAGTGGACTCACCTCACCACTTCAGCTAAACACTAATGTTTCTGCAGGTAAGCAAACAACCAGAGGACCTTTACAGCACAGTAGGGTTGTAAAATTTTATTGGGAGAAATCTGTACATGGAGGATTTGGCCTTCAGTGTGTGCACACATAGATAAGCAGGATGAGGTCAAACACATGGAACCCACTGAATTGCATGAAGCCATTACTCAAAACTAGACAGGAAGTTCAGTACAATCTGCTTAAGTTTAGCATCTGATGCCTCTGAGATCTTGCCGTCAGCCCTGCAAGAGAACAAACCGATTCTGTGTACCTGTGATAAAAATGTGACTTGTTAAATGTGAATTGTTAATTTAGGCTCGTCTTACTTGATTGCTGCGAGCAGCTCCTGCTGCTGGCTGAGGATGTGTTGCAGGAAGGCCTTCTCAAACTCTGTGATCTTGCTGGGTTCCATCTTGTCCAGGTGACCTCTGACACCAGCATAGATGACTGTCACCTGCTCCTCAATGGCCATGGGAGCTGAACAAGGGTTAGAGTTCAGAGAACACGAGACGTAGTACAGGATTCACTTCGGAAATAAGAGCTGCACATGTGACTGACCATAAAACTAAAATATTGACTTACAATACTGTCCCTGCTTCAACAGCTCAGTGAGCCTGACACCTCTGTTCAAAAGCTGCTGGGTGGCAGCGTCCAGGTCAGAACCGAACTGAGCGAAGGCAGCGACCTCACGGTACTGAGCCAGCTCCAGCTTCATGGTACCAGCCACCTTTGAGTGAGAGGAAATAAAAGGCATACCATTTTAAATTGTAATACAGCCACTTCATTAATTAGACGGAAGGCTGTTAAGATCCTTAGGCCACATGTTACCTGCTTCATGGCTCTGGTCTGGGCAGCAGAACCCACTCTGGACACAGACAGACCCACATTGATAGCTGGGCGGATACCTTTGTAGAACAGCTCAGTCTCCAGAAAAATCTACAAAAGAAGATAGTCAAACATTAAACACAACATCAAATGAATAGAGCGGAGCATCGACTAGAACAACAAAGACCAACCTGTCCATCTGTGATGGAGATGACGTTGGTGGGGATGTAAGCAGACACATCACCGGCCTGAGTCTCAATGACGGGGAGGGCAGTGAGGGAGCCGCCACCAAAGTTGTCATTCATCTTGGCAGCTCTCTCCAGCAGACGGGAGTGCAAGTAGAACACATCACCAGGGTAGGCCTCACGACCAGGGGGACGACGCAGCAGCAGGGACATCTGACGGTAGGCAACAGCCTGGAAAAGATGGATGTTTAACAAGAATGCTCCAGGAACTCAGTTTGTTTGAGCAATGGAATAAACTAGAAGGCCAGTGATCGCTGCCCTCACCTGTTTGGACAGATCGTCATAGATGATCAGGGCGTGTTTGCCGTTGTCTCTGAAGAACTCTCCCATGGAGCAGCCAGAGTACGGAGCCAGGTACTGCAGAGGAGCAGCATCAGAGGCAGTGGCAGAGACCACAATGGTGTACTTCATGGCATCAGTGTCAGTCAGCCTCTTCACCAGCTGGGCCACAGTGGATCTCTTCTGTCCAATGGCAATGTAGATGCAATATAGCTTCTTCTTCTCGTCAGTGCCATCGTTGAAGCGCTTCTGGTTGATGATGGTGTCGATGGCAATGGCAGGTTTTCTGAGAAGATTGGGGGGGGGGGGGGTATATATATAAATAGAAATATTACACTTAATTTAATTAGGCATTTAATATGATAGAACACGTGTAATTTATTGTTTTTACCCAGTCTGCCTGTCACCAATGATCAGCTCACGCTGACCTCTGCCAATGGGCACCAGACTGTCCACAGCTTTGATACCAGTCTGCATGGGCTCCCTCACAGAGATACGAGGGATGATACCAGGAGCCTTCAAACCCACACGCCTGCGGATCTTGGAACCAAGAGGACCCTGGAAGGGAAAAAAAAAAAAAAAAAAAAAGAAAAAAAACAAGTCATTAC